GCTCGCACGGGGGCGTCCGAATTTTTTGGCACACTTTTCACGCGGATCGTGCCCTACAAGGACATCAGGAATTGAGCACATCTGGAGGCCCACCTGTGGCCTCAGAGGGGGCGCTCGCACGGGGGCGTCCGAATTTTGTTGGCACACTTTTCACGCGGATCGTGCCCTACAAGGACATCAGGAATTGAGCACATGGAGGTCCACCTGTGGCCTCAGAGGGGGCGTTCGCACGGGGGCATCCCACTTTTTTGGCACACTCTTCACGCGGAGCGTGCCCTAGAAGGACGTCAGGAACTGAGCACACCGGTGCTCGCGCTCTCCGCAGCAGCCATCTGGGCGCGCTGCCCCGCGGCCCGCGGCGTACGAAGTGAGACCCGCGCCCTGCGCTGCGCTGCGCGTGGCTGCACGAGGGTGGGTCCGTCGCCAAACCAAGTGCTTCGGGCGCCTCCTGGAGCGAGCGCTGAAGCCTCTTGTGGGCCTCGTGTGGGCCGCGTGGGGGCCTCTCGGGGTCTCTTTTGGGGCCCTTTTGGGGGCCCCTGGGGTGACTGCTGCAGCCTCGGGGGCCCGCTCGTGGCGGAGGGCCCGAAATGGCAGTTGGAGTTCCCCCCTCTTGGACTCCTCTTGGGGCCCTCTTGGGCCGTCTTGGGCGCCTCGGGGCTCTCTTGGGCCTTCCTGGGGTTCTCTTGGAGGCCCCTTGGCCCGTCTTGGGCCGATCTGTGGGGCTTCTTGGGCGGTTGTGAACGCCCTTGAGGCTCCTGAGTGCGAACATGCTAGATTTGTACCGTCCCCCTAGGGGATGCGCAATTTGGGCCTCGTGGGGCCCTTTTTGGGCGCATTTTGGAGCCTTCGCCGTCTTCGTTCGGGGCCTCTCAAGCCGTCTTGAATCAATCGTCGGGCGTCTTCGGCTCTGTCAGGCCGCTCTGGTCTCTTCCTTGTGGCCTCCGGAGCTGTTTTGAGCGGGGGTGGGAGGCGTGGGAGGCCCCAGAAGGGATCAAACATGTCGTGGGGGGAATCCCGGAGGGTGTCCTGGCCAGGGCCCTGGGCCTCAAGTACGTCAGCATATGTGCAGGGCGTGCGGGGGCCCTCACCGAGCCCCGGCGTCCCTGTATGATCCGTACCCTGCGTTCTCCCTCTGTCCGATGCGAGCCAGGCGCAGAGACTTTGAACTACTTCAATGGTTCTGAAGAACCTGCTTGTCCTCCTTCCTCCTCCTCCTCCTCCTCCTCCTCCTCCTCCTCCTCATCACCACTAACACTCACTGAATGGTGCGATTCGTCACAGACAACTCCACTGAAAGAAAGACCCACATATGGTTTGAACTGGAATTCCGCCGGCCCCCGTGTGGGACCATCAGGCTGCGAGGCTTAGGTTGGCTGCTCCCTGCGTCAACTGCAGTTTCAAATCTCCAATGCTGCAGTCCTGCTTTCTGCTTCCTATTGTAATTTGTTGAAGCCCGCGCGATGGGGGGGAGCCGAAAAGAAACCGAGGGACGTGTAACAATACATGAGACTCGCGCTCCCGAGGCAATAATCCATGGCACATTACTCCGCACTCGCGACCCCGAGGCCACGACCCTGGGTAAATTACAAACCAGCCGCATCCCAGAAGTCACGATCACCAGTAAAATACACCAGATTCACACCCTCGGAGCCACGACCACCCGTAAATTATGCTACGTTCGCGCCTCTGGGGCTACGATCTCTTTTACATTACGCCACAGTTGCGCCCCCGATGCCACGATCCCTCGTAAATTAACCATCGCAAATAATGATGCTGCGTCCCCGAGGCAACAACCCCCAGGAAACTACAAACTATTCGCGTCCCTGAGATCATTTACCGTTACAAATTAAATAATTCTTGCGCCTCTGAGACAACACACCCTAGTACATTATCCAACGTTTGTGGATTATAGGGTAGTCGCGTCCCCCAGGCCACAAACCCTCGCAACTTGCTCAATGCTTGCGTCCCAGGAGCAACAAGTCTTTGTACACTATTCAATATTCGCGCCCACGTGGCCATAAACCATAGCATCTTGCGCCATATTCGTACCGCCGAGGCCAACAGTGCTCCAAGGCGCGCGAAGATCGTTCCAAGACGGCCTAAGGGGGCCCCTAGAGGCCCCAAGAACGCTCCAAGAGGCCGAGAGAGCTCCAAAGAGGCCAACATCGTCGATTTTACAAGAAGGTTTTCGAAGGAGTTCTGGGGTTCTCGAATTTTCGGCTTTCCGACGCTCCAAAATGGCTCAAAAAACTCCCAAGACCGCCCCAAAACAGCCCAAGATGCCTCCAAGAGGGCCCCACGACAGCCCGATATGGCTTCAAGATGGCCTCAGAAACGCTCCGAAAAGCCCCGGGAACAAAAACCCAGGAGGCCCCACGAGGCCCCAAGAGGCCCCCAAGACGCGCCAAAGAGGCCTCCAAACGGCCCCCAAAAATACCCCACGAGGCCCACAGAGGCCCCCAATGGGCACCGAAACCGCCTCCAAGAGGCACCCGAAAAAATGTTCCCCACGACCCCCCAACACATATACAGGAGGCCTAAGAGCCACAATCCAGACAGTGGCGGGATGGGCCGAAGGCCACTCGGATAACGCCTACATCTCAATAGGCGGTGATGATGCCTATCCGCCCCCGCATGAGGTTCCCAGATGCGCCAAGGCAGCGCCGAGACGCACCGACGCGACTCTGATATATCCCAGTCTGATAGAAAGGGGGCCGCCGGCAGGACGCGAAGCCCTTGCAGACAAAAAGGTACCAATCGCGCGGATCGAAGCGAGACTTACGGCCCCAGAGGAAAGCAGGGCTCACCACGCGTACCCCCACCGATTTCGGCACGGCCCTTGCGGATCGTCCCCCCCCTGTGAGCTCCAATCCTGGGCCCAGGGGCGAAATTTGCCTGGCGTTCCTGCCCGCATATCGGCACACCATTCGCACGGATCCCGACCCAGAGGGATGTAGTTTCAAGTGCGGCCCTGGTGGGAGGAGTAACATGACGCCACGTCCCCATGTGTACGCCGACGATCTTTTCACGCAGATCGTACCCAAGTGGGAGCTCCACCGGCAGCCCCAGAACCAAGATTCGCATCCCGCCGCCCTGCCCATGTCGGCACACACCTTACCTGGATCGTGAGGTCTGGGCGTCGTGGGTGCCTCTCGGCGCGCGGGCTGCAACGGCGTTGGGTCCTGGCTGCCCCTCTCCATCCGTTTCCTCCTCCTTCTAATCCTCCTCCTCCTCCTCCTCCTCCGCTTTTTCTTGCTGGCTCCTGGCTCCTCGATATCTGCTTCTTCCTTCTCCCATCCCCCTTCTGCCCCCTGCCTCCGACGACTTGAAATTTCTAGGTGGGGGCGACGACGGCGAAGGTGAGTACGAATATGGGACGGGAAGGAGGAGGACGAGGAAGAGGAGGAGGAGGAGGAGTAGGAGTATGTATGTATAGTTTCATGTTTGGGCTATACTGTGGAATATTGCAGCGTGCTGGCACCCTTTGGGTTCCATCCTGGTCTTCTGAAGCCATCTTCGGTTTTCCTTGGGCCGTCCAGGAAATGTTGGACAGCTCGGTACTGTCGTGGCTATCGCAAGGTGCATGTGTGTGTGTGTGTATGTGTCTGTGTGTGTCTGTGTGTGTCTGTGTGTGTGGGGGATCTATGAGCGGCGGTTTTTCTTTATTGGGGATTGGCTCTTGGGACTCTCGCGTGGCTCGTTTGGGGATGGCCTGGGGCGAAATGTAAAAGGCTGGGCGATGAACGTACCGCCACCGTGCCGAGGTTGTGGGTCAGATGCCTTATGGGAAGCCTCTTTGGTGAGCGTCTGAGGGGCCGTTTGGGGGCCTTTTGAACACTATTTTGGGCGTCCTGGAACCTGGGGGCATCTTGGGGGCATCTTGGGACCGCGAGCTCGTCGTCCCCGGAGGTGCCCAGCTCGGCCGTCGCCAACAGGCCGAGCCGCTCTTTCACCATGCCGAACGACTCGTCGCTGGCCGAGACGAGAGTCGAGCCAGCGCCCCGGGGACGCGAGCTGGCTGAGTAGAGGGGCGCGGCGCGCGGCGCAATCGGTTGGCCTACCTTGCGTCAGCCACAAGGCGCAGCATCGAGCCCTTCGTCTTGACGAAGAAGCAGCCCGCCCGACAGCAGACGCGCCGCCGCCACGTGAGCAGACCCGCCCTCGAGAGGCTCCCCCCAAGAATCGGGCCCCAGTGGGGGTGGCCACGAAAGGCCCCTGAGTCCGTGTCCTCGCGGGGCTCGGAACTCGTCTGCAGGATCTTGTGGATGCGCGCGTACGGGGCGCCGATGAGCTTCGCGGTCTCCTGGGGCGTGGCGGCAGCCACCCCCTTCGGGACAAGGTCCCCCTTGGTCACCCTCACTTTGTCGATGTCATATGACCCCTGGGGCCGCGCTGCCAGACGCGGCGTAGAGGTCGCCGGACCTCTTCGCCCGAGCAAATCGGCGCGGGCCTCCTCGCCCGAGGGCGCGCTCGAACCCGCCACCGGCGGGCCAGAGGAGGTACGCAACTGCTCGATCGCCAGGCTTTGCCAGGGAGAACAGCGCGCGGGAGCGAGACTGCTTGCGCGGTGCCTGTGGAGGAGCGGCAGCCGCGGATGCGTATCCTGCAATGCCGACAGCGCCACAGCAACGTCGGAGACAAGGATGTCCGGACACTGGGCGACGTCGTTGGCCCGGGAAACTCGCCGGGGACCAGCGACTGGCCCAGCCACTTGGAGACCAGGGGGAAGGGCAAGGATGCCTCGAACAAGTCCCGAGGAAGCTGAGGCTCCACCTCCCCGGGGCCGCTGCCAGCGCTCAGTTGCCGCCGCCGCCGCCCGACGAGGCGGCCCCGTTCTGTTTGTTTTTGTCCTTCGGGTGGTTCACGTCCTTGACCTTGGCCGTCAGCTCCTCCCGCAGGAGCCGACTCTGCTTGAGAATGCGCGCCTCCTGCTCCACCAGCGTCGCCATGCGAGCAGTTCCGCGTGGCCAGCCCGCAACCCTCGTCCATGGAGTGCTCGGTCATCTTGCCTTAACCTTGGAAAGACGGCGCCTTCGGGTTGATCGGCGCCGCCCGCTCCGTCGACGGGCGAGAAACTCGAGGCTGGCCGGGTTGCTCGCGCCCAGGCAGTCGTAGCCCAGGCCCAGCGCGAGGCGGCCTGGCAGTGCATGCGGTGCTCCAGCGAGACCCCGCTCTCGGGGTGCACTCCCGACTGGAGCGCCCAGTGGGCGTGGCACGCGAACAGCGCCAATCCGAGCCCAACCTCCCCCCCGCACCAGCTCCACGACGGCCTGCGGCCCCGAGTGAGGCCAGTCGGCGATCTTGGTCAGGTCCAGCGGCCGGTAGTGGTCCACGGCCTGCGAGAGCGGCACGAGCCCGACCCGAACTCGGAACCGCGAGCAGTCGACGGTCGCGGGCAGCACCACTCTGCTTGTCGCGCTCCCAGTTGGCATGCTCTGCGGTCGGCACCAGCTCGGCGGACAGCCAGCGGCGCGGCTCCCCCCTGGCCCCCCTGTTGACCACGGCGACGGCGCCCTTCACGACGCCAGTGGACACGACCTCGTCCGAGGGGACCTTCTGACCGAACTCGTCGCACTCGTGTCCGCGATCCGCCAGGCATTGCCACTGCCTACGACCGCCGCCCCTGGGAGACCCTCGGCGCCCATGATGAAGGCCAGGCGCGTCGCCACCGCGTGCTAGCCCAGCAGCTCGGCGTCGGTCATCGTGCCGATCAGCGCGCTGTCGCCCACCGCCCTGGCCGGCACGAGGGCGCGTCGGGCCAGAGGAAGGAGCTCGAAGCTGGACAGGTCCAACACCTCGAGACTTCCTCCGGGCCCCATCGCGACCCGCCGCGATTCCTCGATCCGCCACAGCAGCGCCTTTTTGCTGCCAAGTCTCTGGGTGCCCGCCCATGGCTCCCAGCATCTGTGGCTCGTCGATGTTGAGCGCCCGCTCCATCACCTACTCCAGATTTCGTAATAAAGGGAGGGGGGTCTCATTTCGGGGGGGGGGGTCTCTTCCAGGCTATCTTGGAGGGCCTGGGGGGTCTGGGGACGATGTTTCGGAGGGTTCTCCCACGGGGGAGGTCTGAAATGGCTTGTCTTGGAGGGTCCAGACCCCCTCCCTTTTATTACGGAATCTGGAGTACACGCCTCCTGGGCGGCGAGGAGGGCCAGCAGCTCGGGCTGCGCACGCGGCCTGCCCCGCCCTGGCGCAGCCCCTGTGAGCGCCAGTCTACCGGGGACTCCACTAACAGGCACTTTGGCCAGTGACCCGATGTGGGCAACGCTGCAATGCCAGGAAGGGGCCCCAAAATGGCAACTTTCGGCAAATCTCCAAAATACAATGCCAGGAAGGGGCCCCAAAATGGCAACTTCCGGCAACTCTCCAAAGTACCCGCTAGTGAATACCCGTTACGGTGCCCGTGACCCTGGGCGGCCCGGCGGACCCGGCCCAGCGCGCCTGGCCGGCGGGGGGCCAGCCGCGGGCCGCCGCCGGCAGCTCGAGGCGCAGGCCCAGGCGCAGCAGAGCCCGAGGCGCGCCAGGAGGAAGGCCGCGGCCGCCGCGACGATCCCAACCCAACCCGAAGACCCGAATTTCGAGTTGGGGGGGGTAAGGGTTCCACATGCGTTTTTTCGATGTTCCCCGCCCCCCCCCCCACTGGAAATCGAGGGTAAATCTGAGCCTTCGGGTTGGGTTGGGGTGGCTTGGTGGGTGGTGAGGAACACCGCGGCAGCCGCGATGACCCCCAGCACCACCGCCGCCAGCGCCACCACTCCAGGGCGGCCTGCTGGGAGAGGAGCTGCCGCAGCTCCTCGTCACACGAGCAGACAGGACACCTGTCGGGCTCGTCCGCGGAGCCCCCGTCCCAGCTCTCCTCCTTGCGTGCCAGCGGCACGATGCAGGCGGGCTGGTGGACGTCACCGAAAGCGCTATGACCGATCCAGACGAGCACCGCCACGAAGACCGAGGTCAGGGAACCCCAACCCTGGTCCATGAGCCGCGGGACCCGTCAGGAGCAGGGCCAAAACGGCTACGGAGACAACCCCTCCCGCAAAGGAAAGACAGTCGTGGACAGTGCGCATACACATTTATATATGTATATATATATATATATATATATATACAGGTGTGTGCCATTTACACACACGTATGTATGTATGTATGTATGTATGTATGTATGTATGTATATATGTATGTATGTATGTGTGTGTATGTATGTATGTATGTATGTATGTATGTATATATGTATGTATGTATGTATGTATGTGTGTATGTATGTGGGTGTATGCATGTAGGTATGTATGTACGTATGTATGTATGTATACATTTATGTATGTATGTGTGTATGTATGTATGTATGCATAGATGTATGGATGTATGGATGGCTGTATGTATGTATGTATGTATGTATGTATGTGTGCATGTGTATATAGTTGTATGTATGTATGTATGTATGTATGTATGTATGTATGTATGTATGTATGTGTGTGTATGTATGTATATATGTATGTATGTATGTTTGTATGTATGTATGCATGTATGTATGTATGTATGTATGTATGTATGTATGCATGTATGTATGGATGTGTGTACGCATGTATGTGTACCTATGTGTATGTTTGTATGTATGCATGCATGTATGCATGTATGGATGTATGTATGCATGTATGTATGGATGTATGCGTGTATGTATACATGTATGCGTGTACGTGTGTATGTATGTATGCACGTACATGTATGTATGCATGTATGTATATATGTATGCATGTATGTGTGTATGTATGTGTTTGTGCATGTATGTATACATGCATGTAGGTAGGTATGCATGCATGTATGTATGTATGCTAGGAGTGTGAGATATAAACGTGTGTACCTAGGTATACACACAAACAGAACACATGCTTGTCACTGTGGACCCCAAACAATGAGTTCTCGCACTCTGGTGGTGGAAGCAACGTGGTGGAAGCTACGTGGTGGAGGCTACGTGGTATAAGCTCTGTGGTAGAAGCTATGTGGCAACGTTTCACATCCACAGACGTGCTGACAGAAAACTGGGCCCCACTAAATGGAGCGCAGCTTTTCGTATTCTTGGCGCTCCCCACTGGATAAAGGAGCGCACAAGGCGGCAACGAGAAGGTAACGGGCGGCAGCGTGCGAACCCTCGGGACATCCACCCAACGCACGTGCGGCAGCGAGGCGGCAGCCACGCGGCGGTAACGGGCGGCAATGCGGCGAATCCGTGGGACACTCGCCCAGCGCGCGAGGTAGCAACGAGGCGGCATCGGGCGGTAACGCAGCGAATCCTCGGGACACCCGCCCAGCGCGCGAGGCGGCAGCGAGGAGCCAGCGAGGCGGCAACGGGCGGCAATGCGGCGAATCCTCGGGAAACCCGCCGAACGTACGAGGCGGCAACGGGCGGAAACGAGGCGGCAACGGGCGGCATCGCGGCGAATCCTCGCCAGACACCCCAAGCAACAACGAGGCGGCGATGGGCGGCAACGTGGCGAACCCTCTCCTGGCACCCCAAGCGGCAACGGACGGCAACCAAGCGGCGGGCGGCAACGCGGCGAATCCTCGCCGGACACCCCAAGCGGCAACGGGCGGCAACCAGACGGCAATGAGGCGGCAACGGGCGGGTACCCCAGATTTCGTAATAAAGGGAGGGGGGTCTCATTTCGGGGGGGGTCTCTTCCAGGCTATCTTGGAGGGCCTGGGGGGGTCTGGGGACGATGTTTTGGAGGGTTCTCCCACCGGGGGGGGTCTGAAATGGCTTGTCTTGGAGGGTCCAGACCCCTTCCCTTTTATTACGAGATCTGGAGTACGTGGCGAATTCGCGCCCGACCCCCCAGCGGCAACTGGCGGCAATCCCTCCAGCGGCAAGGGGCGGCAACGAGGCGGCCACGGGCGGCAACGGCCGTCAGCGCGGCGACTTCTCGCCAGACTCATCCAAGAGTGCAAGCACTGTTTTGGGGAAAGACAGGAGGAAGAGGAGGGGGAGGAAAGGGAGGAGAAAGAGAAGGGCGATAGAGAGACAACGATGAGCAGGGCGGAAGGAGGACCAGGAGGGGGATTGAAAGCCACAGGAAAAGGGACGACAACAAAGGCCTGCCTGGCTTGGCGCCGACGGTGCCCAGCCCGCTCCGGCGGTCTCGGCCTCCTCTGGGAGCCAGGAGCCTGGCTGGGTGGCGCTGTTCGCCTGGAAGGGGGGGGTCTCCCCTTCGACTGCGCGCCGCTGCCCTGCCCCTTCCCCTCCCCGTTCTGTCTCTCCCCCCTCCTCCCCTCCCCACTCCACACCCCGTCTCATCTCGCCCCAAGAGATCGCAAGCCTGCTCGCCGCCGTCTCCTCGTGGCACGCTCCGCGGTGTCAGCAGCACTCTTCGCGTGCGCTGGCCCGCACTTGCCGCCCGCGGACGCGGCTGCCGTGGGGAAGGCTGAGGACAAGGCAGTGGCTGCCGCGCCTGTGCGTAGACCCCGCGGAGGCGGTGCGCGAGGGGCGCAGGAGGCGGCGCCAGCGGCTCGCTGGACGGCGAGCGCTGGCTGCCTCGCCTTGTGGCGCTCGACGGCCCCGCGCTCGCCCCCGACAGCGCCGCGGTCCTCGACGGCGAGTGGGCCGACGCCCCGCTGCCGCGCGCGGCGGCGGAGGCAGCGACGCGGGCGCCCCTCACGACGCTGCCGCGGAGGCGCCTGCCCCCCTGGCGCCTGCGGCGCACGCGGCGGCGGCTTCGGCGCAGACGGATGTTGGTGCGAAGGCGACCGTGCGCGCGGGCTTGATCGAGTGGATCATGGTGCTGACGTGCGTGAGCCCCCACCACGCGGACGTCATCACCGTCATGAACCTCGGCCAATTGCGCGGCTTCCTGGCGAAGTCTGCCAACCGCTGAGGGCCTAGCCTACCTGGGCCCCACTGCCGCCGATGGTCGGGCCCCTGCTTGCATGCCCCGGGGTGCGCCATGGGTGGTCCCAAATGGGCCCTTCACTGCCTGCAGGCACCACGTGTGAACCTCTCACATAAGCTCGGCTTTGGTGCACGCAGGCAGGGCCAGTCTTCTTGCGCAGGGCGCGCCTGGGCAACTCAGACGCGTCTCTCGCTCGCTCGCTCGGTCCGTCCACGCCCCGTCTCCCTCTCGCCCTCCCTCCCTATCTCCCTCCCCCCTCCTTCCCTGCCCTGCTCTTACCCCCGCCTGCTCCTCATCCTTTCCATTCCCTCACCCTCCTGGGTGTTTTTTTTCGTCGAAAACTTTCACTGTCAACGGCACCTCCCGCCCGATGGTTGGACTTGAGTGAGGGTGCCCTCTGTTTAGAGACCTTGGCTCAAGGTTCAAGATCGCCCCAGCGATTGTGTCCGAAATGTTTGGTTACACTAGTGCTACGTTGTTCGCGAGTCAAGCCAGCAGCGGGCAATGCGCGTTGGCACTGTGAGCCAGTCAGGTTGCCCAATCACCCACCAATC